TTTTTTTTTTTTTTGCCCCAAGGTGCTTAAATTTAATGATACTATTTTTCCTTCCAATCATGGAATCTTATATTTTAAATAATATTATAAGACACTTTGTAGGGACTAAATTTGTGCAATAATATTTTTTTTTTTCATTTTCCCATATTCCACTATAGTTTTTTTGGTTGTTGCATACAATCTATTAATTCAATGGTTTTGCTATGGAGTCATCGGATGACTCGGTTTATGGAGTCATCCATAGTTATTCACAAATGATGTATTGACACATGTCTTGCAATAAATACACATTGAACACGTGTCGATAAATAAAATTATGGACAACTCCATAAGGGAGCCATCCGATGACTCTATAGAATTATTGATTAACTCAATATTATACATTATTTAACCTATATAAGTAATCTATATTGTAATTTTATTATTTTAGCCAAGGTAATTTAAATTTAAACTAATATCCTTCAAAAAATTTAAACTTATTTCGACCATATTCATGCTAGTATTTCGACCATATTCATGCTAGGGGTGAGCGTGGGTCGATACGGTTCGGAGATTGATAAATCTTCGGAACCGTACCAAAGTTCGGAGATCTGTTTAGTATAGAATAGATGGGCAAGGGATAACCGAGCTACCCGACTCGGGTCGATCTCGAAGGAAGGCTATTCGGAGCTTTGTCTACTAGATGATCCTCCAAATCACTAAAAGGGGAAAATAAAGTCCTAAACATTCTAAACAATTGATTGGATGGTTGATTAACACTAAACGAGCACTTAAGAACGAGCAAACAACTAGAAGCAAGATCAAAATACGAGCAATTCACAAACTAGATTACCGGAGTCTCATGCCATGACCATATCGGGATGATAATCAATCGACAAACGGAATAAACGAGCTACGAGCATTAGATTGCTAACCCTAGTCGTCTAATCGAGATCAACAAGTAATTAACGACTCTATCTACTCAAGCAAGTAATCAAGTTCAAGCATTTCCACCATCATCAATCAAATTCAATTTACTCTAATGAACATTATAAGTAAAACCGGAGCAAAAACAAAGTAAAGAGCTATAAAATTAAATACTCAATCTCCCATTGCGTAGACGATGAAAAACGGAGTCAAAAGCTCGAAACTTGAACGAAACCGAAGTCGCCGGAAAATTTCCCGGAAAATAGCATAAGCTCCTAATCTAGAGAGAAAAAATAAGACATAAACTAATTTCCCAAAGAGGAAAAGTGAATATGAGAGTTGGATCCTCAAAATCCAAAGGAAAAAACATATATATAGTGGTCTCCAAAAAGCACACACTAGGTGCACACACATTTAATGATTCAGCAGTTCGCAGGTGGCCAAAATAGGTTCGCAGCGAGTTTTGGAGTAAAAATCAACTGGAAATGGCATTTCGCAGCTCGCCAAAAGAAGTTCGCAGCGAGTGTGTCCAAGGAGAGTGATGTGTGCACTGGCCGTCTTCGCAGCCCGCGAAGTGCAACTCGCAGCGAGTGATGGGCAGCTCACACTTGGAGGTTTGCAGCATGCGAAAGATGGTTCGCAGCGAGTGCTTGAGAGGGTGTTGTGCAGTTTGGCAGGCTGCGAAGACGGATTGGCAGCGAGTTGTGGTGTTGGGCGCCGTCCACTTTCGCAGATCGCCAATGCCATTTCGCGGCGAGTTGCTGGGCTAGGTGAGGAGTGTTGCTGGACTTTCACGGCACGCAAACGCAATCCCGCAGCGAGTTCGGGCTGGTTGGGTGCTTTGTGGACCCTTGGCTCGCTGGGCGTGAACGGCCATTGGCAGCGAGTTCTTAGCCTTGCGCCTTGTCATTGGCCCAGAACGGTTCGAGTGGTTTGTAAATGCTCCGGATGACTCGGTAATGGCCCGAAAACCTAATCTTCCCGAAATTTGCAAATTAGACCTAACAACACACCAAAAGAGACACAAAAATACGGCAAAATACAAGAATACATTACGAAAATAAAACACATAAAACACGATAAAATGGACGGTTGACACTCAAAATAACCTAAAAATGACTCGACTCAAGCACATAAAACACAATAAAATACCACAAAAACATAACAAACAACTCCTCCACACTTAACTCTTTGCTTGTCCTCAAGCAAACAAAACAACAAGTAGCTCGAAAAGAAAAATCGAGAAGTCTAAAATTAACGAGCATGCGAAATGAAACTCTCATTATCATCCGGTTATTCTCAAAATCAAAATCCAATCCGAAAACACAGTTCCCACAAGTGAATCCAAACGAAACAAAAACCCGTCCCAAGTCATTCTACACATGATAACTCGAGACAAAACTCCCTTATTCTACATGAACGTGCAAAAACTACAAATGGTCCACTAAACATGTAACATAATAACCAAGAACCAATAAGCCAACTCCCATTCTTTTTCTTTATCTCTCTTTTTTTTTTCTTTTTTTTTTTAAATGAGCCACTTTTTCCAAATGAGAGCCGTTAGGACGATTATTACCTAGGTTTAACCTCGGGGGTTATCCCCAAGTTTCCTAGGCCGGTTTCTCGTGCTCATTGATCCGATCTATCTAGAAGATTAACCGAGCCAAGAGGAGCCTAATCCTTTCAACTCTCACGAACTCATTTTGTGAGCTTCTCTTTCCAAACGAGGTTTCCGGACGAGATGATCTAGGTTTAACCTCGAGGGGTTTCCCCGAGTTTCCTAAACCGGTTTCCCGAGCTCATTATCCCAATCCACGAATGGCTCGGAATAAGAGGAGCCTAATCCGTACTTCCTCGCGAACTCACAATTTATTCCTTTTTTTTCTTTTTTTTTTTCTTTTTTTTTTAGGGAGAGGCACACAAGGATACATCACAATTACAATAACATAACCATCTCAACTCAATCGAAATGTACCACAAGTGTATAGATAACACATTTACAACGATAATCAAACATAAAGAAAGCATGCCTCAAGACAATCAATCGAGAACAAGCAAGGGACAAAACAATTTCGTGAATCCACATGCGGGTTCCAATGTCAACGAATCATAAATCAATTTAAGAAAACCGTCAAATTCATCAAGTACATCAAGCATGAACACTAATAGTGAAACCAATCAATAATCTCGACTCACCACTTAGCTATCTTGACTCTCGTACAAACATCAAGCTTCATGCGGGAGAGATGACACAAACACACAAAAACTCAAATAAAACCGGTCCACGACACGAAAAATAAGACCCCAAAATGAAGAAAATATCACCTAAACATGCGTAATCACGAAAATCCCTCCCCCACACTTAAAACAAAGCAATGTCCTCATTGCTTGACCAAAAAGCATAGGATCGAGACACAATCACACAAGTTCATGCGAAAAACAAAACGAAACTCAATAAATGAGCACACGAAAGGAAAACAAACACACAAGAAACAACTAAAGAAAAAGAAAATAGGAAAAGAAAATGAGTACTCTACACGGTGGTGCACCACTGTGTGTCTAATGGTGTTCGTCCGGTGGGAATAGAGAAAATAATCCGAAAACCATCGAGCTCAAAATGAAGCCATCCGAACGGTTGGGCATTGAACCAATGAAACTATACGGGCCATATGTATGTGTCTCGGAGAAATGATATCCGTGCTTCCATGAACTCGACGAAGACACACGTATACGTTAAAGCTCAAAATCTCGGGCATAACATGCAAAGTATAATAAAGTCCCATCCGTCGGCTCCAAATAAAAGTCATGTGTATGCATCTCGGAGAAATAATAACCGTGAATTCATAAACTCGACGAAGATGCACTTATGCGTGGAAGCTCAAAATATCGGGCCACGGGGCCATCAATGATACGCGCAATAATATAACACAACCAACTCCTCTTTTGAATCAATGCCCGAACTAATTACCGGCGCTTGCCGTATATAGCAACCTACAAACTCAAAAATTCGGCAACAACACGAAAATTGGCACGCCCAGCAAGACGTGCCTATCACACAAGTCTAACCCACATAATGTATCACGACTACTCCGGCAAGTGTAGTAATCAAGCACAACGAAGATAATGCAAATATGAAGATACAAAGCAAGTTCGAGGCGTTGTACCTTGAAAAAGGTCGAGAAAAACGGTTGCCGGAGTGTATAAGTAGAGAGATAGGTGAAAGTGGAGCTTCGGTCGTCGGAAAATGTACCCAACGATAGGAGTCGATGGTATATGACAAGAAAAGCTCAAAAATACTAACCGGAAGCTCGGTGGGTGCTCATTCGCCGAAAAAAATGGTCGTCGGAAAAGTTCACCGAATTCTGGCGACGGTGGTCGGAAAAGGTGCGCCTCGGCGAGAGGAGTCTGGGGTGCCTTCGGATTTTGGTGGGTCCAAGTGAGTCGTCGGCAATTTGGATTTGAAGGTTGAAGTGATTTGTAGATCTACGAGCTTTCGCCAGAAAATCGGAAGCCTTCTCGCCGGAATTTTTCTTTGAGCTCCGGATATGTTGTC